TAAAGGATCATTTAACTAATGAACCAATACTAGCATTATATAATCCCGAAGCAGAGACTGAAGTGCACACAGACGCGAGCAACAAAGGGCTGGCAGGAATGCTGTTGCAAAAAGGTGAAGATAGAAAGTGGCATTTAGTTTATTGTGTAAGTAAAGGAACAACAGAAACAGAAAAGAATTATCATTCAAGCAAATTAGAATTAATGGCTATAGTTTGGACTTTGACACGACTTCGACAATTTTTAATTGGAATCCGATTTACGGTAATTACAGAGACTGCCAAGCTTTAGTTTATTTAAACGCGAAGAAAACTTCAAATCCTCAGATAGCAAGGTGGAGTAATCTGATCCAGGAATACAATCTTGAAATAAAGCACAGACAAGGCAAAAGAATGAGTCACATAGATGCATTGAGCCGATCGCCAGTTGATCAGCCAGAAGAAACTTTAGACTCTATAATTGAAAACAACTTGGAAGTTTGTTTAACGCTAACGATAGATGAACAAATTCTTATGATTCAGCATTCAGATCCAGAATTACGCAAATTAATAGACATTTTAAAGAAAAAGATAAATGATAGAACGAATGCAGAGAAATATGTAACTGAAAATTACGTCTTGAAGAATAATCGATTGTTTCGTAAAGTGAAAGATCAGGAAAAGGAGAAATTGTTATATGTCATACCTAAATCGATGAGAAAAGGTATTGTAGTAAAATTTCACGATCTTTTGGGACATTTTTCAGCAGACAGAACTGTTGCCAAAATCAAGGAATCATACTGGTTTAAAGGAATGAAACGATATGTTATGCGTCACATTTCGATGTGTTTCGAATGCCTAGTAAATAAAATGCCTAGTGGTAAGAAACAAGGAGTACTGCATCCAATTAGACCTGGTAGAAGACCTTTTGCAATTATACATATAGATCATTTAGGACCATTCGTAAAAAGTTCAAGAGGAAATACAGAATTATTTGTAATAATTGATAATTTTACGAGATTTACACGCTTATATCCTATGAAAAGTACTGCAACCAAGTATGTGTTAGTTGCATTGAAGAGTTTTGTAGATGATTTTGGGTTACCAGAAAAAATTATCAGCGATAGAGGAACATGTTTCACAGCGAAGGAATTTCGAGAGTACTGTCAAAATAATGGAATCAGTCATACACTCAATTCAACTCAAGCATCCAAGTGGTAATGGAATGGTGGAAAGAGCAAATCGAACAATTTTGGCTACGATTAAAACGAGTATGGAAAATCCGAATCAGAGAGACTGGGACAAAAAGATTAAGGAATGCGAAAGAAATCTAAACAATATGATAAATAAGACTACAAATAAAACTCCTTTCGAAATGCTTCACGGTTATTCACCAAAATTTAACGACGGATTGATGAGGATGATTACAGATGAAGACGCAGATGAATGGGAGAATCCAGTAATCTTACAGAATGAAGCTAGAAAGAGAATTGAAGATATGCAGATGAAAATGAAAGCAAATTATGACAAGAAGAAAAGCAATTCTTTAACATTCGAACGAGGAGAAATAGTAGTTATGAGAAGAGTACCTAAATCAACTGGAGAATCAACCAAAACACAACAAAAGTATCGAGGACCTTTGGTAGTTACAGAAGTTTTACCAAGTGATACCTATAGAGTGACTCAATTAGAAGAGAAGGTGAAAGGACATTTCTTTAGTACGACAGCTCATGTGAGCCAATTAAAGTCATGGCAGTGTCAAGCTGAATCAGAAGAAGACGATGATGATGGTGATGACATTAGTGTTTACTGGGGATAACGATAACAACACGCCGCATATTACTAAAACTAGGACACGGAAAAAGAATAGAAAACGACGGTGAATCTATATGACAGCTAAAGACTTTCGAACTATAAACATTAATATACAGATTTAATTTTTTTATAAGTTCTTAATGTTCCGAGGTCGTAACTAGTCAGGATGCCCGTAAACGCAACGTATAATTTTATTTAAAATGTATTTTCCCGATTGGCAACAACAGTTTTTTTCCAGAACGATAATTTTGAACTGTAGTTTTTGATGGTGACGGTAATGTTTTTGAAAAAATTTTAAAAATGTTTTGACAATTTTTCTAACACTTAATTTTACTTACTGTGAAAGACCAAAATCTGGAAATAACATATTCTGCAATGAAATCATGCACACATAGTGGTGTTGACTATTTATATATATCTTATTTTGCTTTCACAACTTAACTGTTATATGACTATGAATTGAATACACGGAATCCCTTGCTTTTACAAACTGCATTTAGTTACAGAAAACATCATTTTGCAATGACGGCATGTACACCTTTGGCTACCACTTCTCGAAAAGGTTGCAGCTGCTTCTCTCAACATTTCTTAAAAAATCTCATCTATGAAAAGTAATTTATCTTTTTAAGGAAATATTGCACACACCAGCAAACCTGGCATAAGACTGACAAAAAGCAGTATATCAGAGTATAACAAATAGATGTCATGTGACTGATAAACAGCAGGTTATAACAAATGGATGCCACATGACAACTGTGGCAGAACAAAGGATTTGGTATTTTTGTCACCTTTGTCTTCTCTGCTTCTTGCTTTAACCTCCGCCAGAATATATCTGATCTTGTCAATATACTCCAGTGGTAGTCTGAATGTATTAGAATATAAACAAATATTCAGTTTTTGATCGACGTATTTGGTATATGTTGACATTCACTGGAAAAGGTCAACTTTTCCAGTTTTGGTCTTTCATGGTAACATATGCATTTCCTATAAACAGTTCTCACAGCAAGGCATCCCACCCATGCATCACTGGAGAATGAGCTTGGGAGATGAGTGATGCATATGTGCATTTAAGCTGAACCATTTTTTGGAGACCGATATTTGGCGTCCTGTATCTATCAGTTTTGAGCTGAACATAGTTTTAGGATCTTGATCTTTAGTTTGATCCCATTCTGCTTAACTTTGGTGTCAGCTACTGCGGAGAAGGAGGGAAAATATAATGTAAACAAACAAAAAGCTTCATTCTTTAACTTGCCAAACGATATAAACATTCCCATTTCAAATCCATTTTTTATTCTTTTTTTTATTATGTAGGGTCATTTAAGGTTATTATAGGGGGTTCTGTTATGCTTTACATTACTTTTATCACTTTTATTTTGTGTTCTTCCCTTTTATATTTCAGAAAATCTTCACTTCAGTTTATTACGGTGAGCAAGAATTATTTTTCAGAGAAAGAATACACTCACATGGTAAAATGAGCCAATTAGAGACATGGATAAGAGTCATGATTCACTTTCTATAGACAGCATTATTTCTAGTAATTTTGATATGGACATTTTGTCAGAGACTGAGCTTATACCTGCCTTCCATTTCCTATGAAAAATTTTGTTATTTTTTGTAGATAGTCTTTCTTGTATTTTTTATTAATTTTAAAGTTTATTAATTATTTTGTCAGATAAGAGTGATGATTCATTTTCTATATGAAAAATTTTGTTACTTTTTATAGATAGTCAGTCCTTGTATTTTTTATTAATTATTTTGTCAGATAAGAGTGATGATTCATTTTCTACACAGAGCATTTTTCTAGTAATTCTGATATGGAAATTTTGTCAGAGACTGAGCTAATTGAATGTCTGCCTTCCATTTCCTGTGAAAGACCTGTTTATTAATTGTTTTGTCAACTAAAAGTTCAGAATAATTGGAATGGCGATTTTGAAAGTTATTTCTCAAAGTAATTTTTTGTTGTGTATTTTTATTTAAATTAATGGAAAAGATTATTCAATGCTAATTTTAACATACGTGATAACTTAAGTAATAATCTAAAATGGTACCAAAAATCAAGACCTTAGGATAAACTTTTTTTTATGATTATTTTCCTGAAGTCGGGCATCATGTGGGACGATTCCTTTCCAGACCGAAGGAGCATCTAAAACAAAGGTGCGCATCTTGAAAGGGTTAAATATTGCTTCAAAGGTATAATTTTTATATTTTGCATATTACTCAATAACTTTCTTACAATTATATGTTAAACTATTTATTTTTAATATTTTGCCAAACACTACATTTAGTATATTTAGGTGCATATGTTTGTTGTGAAGTTGATAAAATTTACAATTATTCTGTAACTACATAAAACCAGTTGCAATTTTCTTCGGTTTATGTAATTTACAAAGATTAATGTTCATTTCTTGGCATACGCAAATCTTTCATGTTAATTCTTACACCTTAAATGACTGCTTATGGCTTTCAAAGAATAAATAGATTATTTTATTACGCAAGACTATTTGCCAATATAGATTTTTGTACAGTGTTTTCTAAAGGAAATACATATGGTTTATATTTCTACTACAAGTAGAAAAAACCATTAAAATTACATGTCACTAGACCCAACTTATCACCAGAAGGAATCAAATCCAGTATGAATTATATTCTCTAACTGACCATTCAGGTATTTATGCTTATTTCTACAATAAACATCTATTGGGAAACACTTTCCTGAAGTTAATGGCCTATGCTTTTACAATTATAAGCTGCACTTTTTTTAGCAGCAAATCCTACGGATTCATTTTCAATTAAAATGATTACTTAGATAGCTGCTTAAATTGCATTTAGCAATATTTAATAGGGTTTGAAATATTTATAGTAAGCATATGTTTTAAGTAAAACTATAGTTCCTAAGAGAAAACTATGTATTATGTTTTGTTAATCACTTAAAAATCACTTAATTTAATGAGAGCCAAAATTAAAATATTTATCAAGCAGTGATATAGTTATGATGGAACTAGAATTCCAGAATGAAATTACTGCTGGTTTCTAACAAATTTTCATTTCTGTGATTAATATGAGAAACACTTATCACTAGCCATTAAATATGAAATAAATTTCAATTCAAACCTCAATTTACTATGTAAATCTTTTATATTTAAAATAAATACAATGCAATATAGTTACTCTTGCTTCAATTAATAAATCCTATAGTTGAAAAAAATACCTTAAATGAATAATCTGGATCATTTCTTGAGCCTTGATACATGTCACAAGTATATCCTTGATGGAATACTACTTCACACCTACAAAACAAAATCAATGAGAAAAATTGTTAAAAAGAACATGCTTTTACACATATGCGCAAGTTCAGAATATATTTTCACTTACATTTATAAACATTAGACACACAAAGAGTAACAAATTTAACATAGATGTATTTTCCATTAACTAAACATTTAAAAAGGAACCAAATATTTATTTTAAGATTTATTAGTATAAGCTATTACACATCCAAAATAAATTTAACATTTTATGAAGGAGCATAACGAATCAAATTAATAAGTAGAATATAAACACATAAAAAGAAAAAATGAATAACAGTTATACTATTATTAAATGAATAACAGTTATACAACAGCTATACTATTGAGCACATATGACTTAAGGTGGCTGGATTAAATAAAACATATATGTGTTACAGTTTAACTTTATAAATGAAGACAAATAGATTCATCTGGATTAACATTTATTAAGCAGAAAAATGATTATGAACATGGTAAAATATAGATGTTAAGCATTGTTAGGTAAACAGTGACAACTACTGAAAACATTGCAGAAATAGAAAAGTAAAAATCCTGTTGGTTGCAATATACAGTGGGAAATGCATTCATAAATTAAGTTATTTGCAATACTTCCTCTTGATTAAATTTCCCTCAATCCTACACTGAACCTTTGGTTGACCAAGGCTTTTGTCTGCACTACAATTGGGTGCCCCTTGCTTTTTGGTGATTCTTGTTTTATGCCAAGATTGGCACCACGAAGGCACAATTTCAAGATGGCCGCTACACAAAACCAAAATAAGTCAAAATTGAACAAACTGTGTCCATGTACACAACGATATGTTTTCACTTAAAAAACATCCCAGAATTGCACAAACTAGGCATTTCGCACTGCCTTAAACTTGTCCACGTACACATCAATCTATTTTCATTTAAATAAAGTCAGGATGCTAAAACAAAGTTAAAACTATCATGGTAACCAGAAGTGAGGTTTCATCGCCAAAATTTAAAAAAAAAAAAAAAAAATTGTTGCTAATTGAAGAGGCACCCAATTCTACACTAGAGCCAAGCAAAAACTGTATTGGAATTTGGTGTAGGCATTTTTGAAGATTGTGAAGTATCGGTATTTCTTAAATAATTCATCAAATGGCCCACAAATGTCTGTGAAGAACAAATTCTCCAGCTTTTGTAACATTTTTTTGTTTCCAAACTTTAAAGATGGGCTTTTCCATATACATAGGCCTCCCATGACAGCGTAGTAAGTTCTTAAATTAATATCTTTTTACAAATTTATTAGCTTCTTACAAAATTTTAAATAATATTAAAATGTTTATGCCTTCAAAATAAAAAATTCTTAGAACTAACATTTGTTAACATTTTCTATGTGTATACTGTATGTAGTCGCCAATAAAGTCTGCTTGGCAAGATTTGCGCCGGCGAAACGGAAAAGTACCAAAATTTCTTTCGCAGTATGACATTCAATCCAGACAAAGCCCTAAAACAGCACTTTGTTCACCATTTCCCAAATAAAACTAGGTTCTTTTATGGTAATGAAGATTATCGATCTTATTCTCTCAGTAATTATCTACATTAATTTCAAGTTAAATCTTAATTTGGAATACAAGTTTAAATGCAAGAATTATTTCAGTTAGTACGAATAGCTTACTCAGAAATTATGTAAAACCGCAGTGCTTTACTTCGCCAGTGCATTCTTATTAGAATTGATGAATTTAATCCTTAACTTTGCGTTTTCTATATTTTCGCCTTCGGGCGAGCAGTGTGATTGCATCCTAATTGACTTAATTACCGCGAATGGTCTTAGGGCATAAAATTTAACTATCTTGTAAACATTCTATGTAATTGTATGCCAGTATTGATTGAAAGGCAATCAATCTGATAAGAAATGGCTGCGACAAATGAGGCGTAAAAGGTTACCAGCGAAGATATTCCGTTTGGTATCAATTGTTGGCGACTTTAACACCTACGGCGGCAAAACGGAAAAGTACCAATATAAATAGTAAAAAAAGTCTGACTTATTTATCGCAAATGGCCTTAGGGCATAAAATTGAACTATTTGGTAAAAATTCTATGTAAGCCAGTATTGAAAGAAACATAGATCTCCCATAATTTCATATCAGATTTAATCTTCATATTCAACTCTTTCTCAGGGGTGACCTTTACATGCTTTTTATCTTGGTGGCGCCGTCATTAATGATAAAGCTGAAGAGTTGATTCCTTACTTTCAGTCACATTTATGTCAACGTGAGTTTCAGGAGCTAAGGCCTTCATTATGGCTCTGAAAAGACCCTCACCAGCATTTCTTGTACCATGCAGAACATCTTCTACCATCTATTTTTAAATAACTGTCCTTAAAATGTTGATTCAAACACACTGTTCTTGTTTCCATCTTGAGTTACTAACATGGAAAATAAATTTTTACTTATTTCTGAAACAGACACTTTCAAGATTTTTGATTCGATTCATCTCATTTACAATGGGCATTATCTTAATAGTGCCTTTTCGAATTGCAAAGTCCGTAAAGTAATGACTGTTATTGACGACATCTTTTAAGGCCCCATTGTCAATAAAACCAATCATCAGAATTCGTTTTAGCAGAAAATATTGCCCCATCTACAGTTAGGAGTGTTGTAATTGCAGCAACATTATTCTTTAACTCCTTTATTTGGCCCTGTAAGTGCACTATTTTTTGGTGGTTTTCCATCAGCTATCCACTTCTTGAATGTTCTGATCTAGTGCACCATCTGGTGATAATAATTACACTTGCCATTGTTTCTTATTAGTGGCTGATTTCTGCTTAAATTCTGAATTTGATATCAATGTTTCCTGATCTTAAGTTTCTACAAAATTCGGATCTTTTAATTCTTTCTCATGAGTGCACAAATTCTGTGATTAATTCATCTCAAGTTCTCTTTTCATCACCAAGAAGTAACCAACTCAATTTGAAAGCGCAATAACTGGTAGGAAGCGTATCCAGTCTTTTACAAATTAATAGCATCTCTTTTTTTCTCCTTATTTTCAAATCCACTGTTCAGTTCTTTCCATAAATTCTTCCATTTTAACAAATGAGCTGCCATGTCATAATTTGGCCAACTGTATATGAAGAACTGTAAACATACATCATAAAGTTGGTTATTAGATAAATCTTCGAATATTTTGTGAATTTCAAGCCAAATGTTTCTTGCACTGTCAAATCTCATTACCTTTTGTAAAGTATCTTCAGTCCTGGAGTTCATAACGACCATCATAGAGCAATTATTGGCTTTATTAAAAACCTACATGTCATCTGTGTATATCTTCAGAATCCTTTTGGCAGGTGCTTGATTAGGCTCCACTGACTTTTTCAGGTTTCCTTCCATGACTTCTAAAGGGTCTTCATGATAATTTAATATGAACTTGATTCAATATTTCCAAATGGAGCACACTAACTTTTCGCACATAATGGCTTAACTGATATTTCTACAGCTCCAATTTTGTGAACTAATATGCGAGGCTTAAGAGTTAATGTAGGCTTCTGAACTGCCAACTTTTATCTTCACTTTGCTTCTAATTTTTTTCTTACACAGTTTAGAACATCTTGAACCCATAACCTATTATGGTCTAACATTAGGAGTGGAGACAAATAAATAAGCAAAGAATCATCAAGATTAGCATACATTATGCACAACAATGATTATGAACATAGCAAAATACACATAGCAAGGTAAACACAGTGACAATTACTGAAAATCTTGGTAGAAACAGAAGAGTAAAAACCGTGTTGCTACACATGTTGCAAAACAAAGTGAGAAATATAATCATGAATTAAGAGTTATTTGCAAAAGTATGGGCAGTCAAATATTTTTGTGAAAATACTTTAGCTTGTGTTAATATTACAAGACACATCACACAGCTGTTTCATTTAGTCATAAATTTAAATTCACAAGCATCTAACTACAGTACAAAGTCTGTAATCCGGACTCGTTGGGACTTCGGCGATTCCGGATTAGGGTTTTTTCAGATTATAGATCATCAATTTAAATCTGGTAAGATGGCATGCAGAAATTATACTATTAAAAATATGAAACCCATAATTTATGAAATAAAAAAGCAATTATGATCTAAAGGGTATCAAATTTTACAAAAAAAGCTTAATATTTATTTGTTTACTTCATTAAACATTTCTTTCAACGCGCGCAATGTATGCTCATTCTCTACGTGCATGCGTAAAGTTTGTTGCTTTGAGGTCTGGATTATAGATCATTCTGGATTACGGACTTTATACTGTACTTATTTCCAAATACTTTCAAGAGTAGTGAAAGACATCCAAGTTCCAGGACAACCCAAAATTTAATAAATGGTAAAAAATTATAATAATTATTTAACAAAGGATAATTGAATACAAAGAGCAAAAATAAGTACGTAAACTAAAATAACAAAATCAAAAGTGTTAAATATGACAAATACCAGATTACATAGAATGACGTTTATGGCAAGGTAGGGAAAATCATTCTTTGCTCTATGTTCACTAATTATCTAGAGTAGCAGTTTTGTGAAACCAATCTAAGCATAAACCACAACTGGAAAATAGCTGATGTTGGGTGATCTTTTTTCACATCCGTTGGTATTTTTCTATGACATGCACTACTAATTGCATAGAAGAGTGGGTGGTCGTAACAATATTCCTTGAACTGAAAATGGGCTGCTCTCCACTTAACCATTACAGTCAGCGATACAACCAACTTTTTTATTTTACAGTGAAATTGTGTTTTGTTGTTTTATAATAAGTTGTCTAGAAATAACCAGTTTAAAAACAAATATAATTTAGACTCTCAAATGCACGTTTTTGTTTACAAAATAATTTATAGCATCTAAGGATGTACAGGATTTGTAGCCACATTTTAGTTAAAAAAATAAGCACCTATAAGCACTTTTCAAGCACATTTTAAGGGGAAAAAAAGCACCTGTCTAATTACATTATACACAACTGCATAACCTTAAAAGAAAAATTCGACTTGTAATTTAAA